TATATCAGTACCTTCCCATATTCGGTATTTTGATGATTTTAGGTGCAATACTCACCGAATTTGTTTGAGATGTGGTACTTGAAGTTCGTAATGGATGCTACAGCCTGTGACAGAAAATTGTCTATGCTGGTCCAGGTCTTCGCACAGCTCCGATATAACGGTACCTCCCTACATATGGTATTTTGATGATTTTAGCTACATTATTCACCGTTTATTTCAAGTTTCGAATTTAGATCTCGTCGTAGAGACACCAATTAACGGCTATGTTCAATATTTTTAAGGTTTAAGAGAATTTTAAATGGAATCTATTTTTTTTTTTATAATTTCCAAATTCATTCCAAATGGTGGAGGATATTCGAAGTTCGACCAAACTTACTGCTTTTTAACTTGTTTTTCTCTTTCCCAACTTCCGTTAAAGAAACTGGATCAGGCCATCAGGACTAGCAGGGACATTCTTGTGCAGAAAATTGGAAATTATGTTTTTCCTCTGTCTCCCCCCCTTCCCTCTTTTTGCTGGGCTGTTAATATTGAAAAATTGTTTATGAATTAATAATGAGATGCTATCGAAATGGCTAAGGATAAGGTACTCATGGATAGTTCATGTTCTAGAGTATCAGGCAAACGTTTTTTTTTTAAAGGATACCATAAAAATGGAAAGCTTGGAAAACATGAAAACCTTTTTTTCTTCAGCCTTTTTATGGCCTTTTTGCATGACCAAGGTGATTTGCGCAAAGAAGGTGGGTGAAAAAGCTCGTAATCCTGAATAATGATGTATGTACTTAAAATGCATATCTATGCCATCTACATTTTTTGTTGCCATTTACAAAGAAAACTGATATTTTCAAGTTCATGTTTGACGGCCGCAAAGACGAACATCAACAAAGGAAAAACAGCCACAAAGGAACATTTTCATAGGCCAGACAGATTAGACAGCCATTCAATCACTCAATGTGTGGGAATTTTGAATGTCAGCTGAAACACACAAGGCACTTAATGGAATGTGTTGAAAGTATCGGATGTTTAGTATAGAATATAAAATTACAAATTCAAGCGGCATATTTCAAAACAAGGCATTCTTTTATCACCCTGTACCATGGGAGAAACTTTTAAAATTTTAATCAATAGGAACCAAACAAGTTAACAAGTATCAGTGGGTTTTGCGGACGGATATATACCCTCAGCCAATGTTCGAATGCTTAAATACAGGGAGAGATGAAAAACTGCAACAAAACTTCAGACTTTTCCTCTCATTTCTAAACCACTCGTCCGACAGTTAATTTTACTCTTAGATTCAACTCTTACTCTTTTTAGAGCATTTTGACTCCCACTCTTATTTTTCAAACAAGAGTAAATAGTCAGCGCTTCCAACATAAAACAACAGAGTAGACGACGAACATTGTGCAAATCTCCTACTCTTAGTATGTTTCACTCACGAATAAAAACGGACAAATCTGAGCTCTGATTTTTTACCCTTCACCATGGAACTTTATGGGGTCTCCGAAACATATTTGAAAGAGCTCCAGGAGGAATTACAAATTTAGGATACCCTCCCTACCTTAAATTTGTAATTCCTCCTGGAGCTCTTTCAAATATGTTTCGAGGCCCCATAAAATAGTAGCATAGTCGAGTTAACGATCTCTGCTTTTTAGTTCGTCTGTTGAAGTCAAGAATCATCACCTATTATTAGACGCAGAGCTTCGAAATTAGTCCATGTTTCATATGGCCCCCATACAACGGTAACGCCCTATATTCTTTATTTTGACCTTTTAGCCACATTAAAATTATTCCAGTGACAGCTCATTATATTGTTTACAAGTGCACAAAAGCATTTTGGTGAGAATTTTCCAGAACAAAAGTTATTCGTGATGGAATTCAAGCGGGATAGTGTGATTTCTTTATATTTGGCTGGAAAACCACAAGTGGCTATCGTTAGAGCACTCCAGCATTTAAATGTGAACAAATCTTTTGTGTCTCGTACCATCGCTCGTTACCGTGATATTGGTAGCGAAGCCCAACGTCAAGGAAATAGATGGAAGAATACAGCAACATCAGCAGAAATAGTTCGAAAAGTAAAGAAGCGAACCGCGTCGCAGTGGCCGAAAAACAGCTCGTGAGCTGAACATATCGCAATAGTCCATTCGGCCAATATTGAAAAATGAGCTCAGGGTAAAACCATTCCCAAAAAGTTCCCAAAAAGAGCAAGAATTTACACCGCCGCAACAGAACAGACTCGAAGAGATAAATAGTTGCATCACTTGACCGAAAGTGATGAACTGCCGAATTTGGTTTTCTCCGGTGAGAAAACATTCGTTGTCCAGAAGTTTATAAACAAACAAAATGATCGTGTTTTCTTGCCAAAGAGGTCAGCTGAAAATGTGCACCTTTGGTTGACCGCCAGAACTCAAACGCCGGCCATGGTGATGGTGTGGGCCGTCATAACAGCCGATGGTCGATCTCCGCTCGCGATTGAATAATTGGCTGCTGTTTGCTGGCCACCACCCACCGCAGCAACGACCGTTTCTGACGCAGCCGAAGATGAATTCGGCGCATTTCGATTATAACTAAAATCAGCCGTTAACAGATTCGACACAATCGACGAAGAACGTCTTCGATTGAAAATCGGTGATTTTTGGGTTCGTATCGATTGGAGATTTGTGCGGACCGACGACAGCAGACAGAACTCAAGCGCCGGCCATGGTGATGGTGTGGGCCACCATAACAGCCGATGATCGATCTCCGCTCGTATTAACCGACCATGGCATCAGAATAAATGCCGAATATTGGGCACACCAACATTTTGGCTGCAAACCTTGGATATTCCAACAGGACTCAGCATCATCGCACTCAGCACGCACCACCCAAGAATGGTTACAAAATGAGGTTCCTTGCTTCATTTTCAGCGCTCAATGGCCACAAAAATCTCCGGATACCAATCCATTGGTCTAGTGAGTCTGGAGTATTTTGGAAAGCAAGGTTGACACTAAAAAATATCAAAGTGTCGATCACCTCAAGCAAGCGCTTCGCTGCGAATGGACCACAATGCCGCAGAGCAACATTCGGGTAGCCTGTGACGGTTTCATTGGCCGTTTGAAGGTCTACCACTGATGAAAATATACGTATTCACAAAGTTGAAGCCAAATCGGATTATATTTTCTCTTTCTGAAAAATTTGACCGTTTGTGGGAGAGGTACCAGAAGGAGTGGGCCGACATATTCCGTATTAATACCAGATCTTGGGTTCATAAAAATATTAGGGTGTGTGAAATTTGAAGACAATCGGACTCTTAAATCATATTTTTTAAGAGTTATAATTATTCAAAATTTTGACCCTTTGTGGGAGAGGTACTTGATATAGTGGACCGATATTGTCCATTTTTGCACCTGACCTAGCACGGACCGATATATTCCATCTTAACACCAGACCTTGGGTTAATATAAATATTGGGATGTGCGATATTTCAAGACAATCGGACTCTTACATCACATTTTATGAGAGTTGTAATTATTTAAAGTTTTAACCCTTTGTGGGGGAGGTACCAGAGGGAGTGGGCCGATATGTACCATTTCGCAACTGATGCGTATATTAAGATTTGCAAAGTTTGAAGCAACCCCGGATTATCGCTTCTCTTCTCTGTGAAGAAAATATATATTTTTGAAAATTTCGACCATTTATGGGTGAGGTACCAGAAGGAGTGGAGCAATATATTCCATCTTAGCACCAGATCTTGGGTTAATATAAATATTGAGATGTGTGATATTTAAAGACAATAAGACTTCTAATTGCATTTTATAAGAGTTGTAATTATTCAAAATGTTGACCCTTTGTGAGGGAGGGACTTGATGGAGTGGACCGATATTGTCCATTTACGATCGAACCGACCTAGCACTGACGCAAATATTAGCAAAGTTGGAGCAAAATCGGATTATCGTTTCTCTTTCTGTGAAGAAAATATATTTTTTGAAAATTTCGATCTTTTGTGGGGGAGGTACCAGAAGGAGTGGGCCGATATATTCCGTCTTAATACCAGATCATGGGTTTATAAAAATATTGAGATGTGTGATATTTAAAGACAATAGGACTCTTAAATTACATTTTATTAAAGTTGTTATTATTCAAAAATTTGACCCTTTGTCCATTTTCGCACCCGACAAAACACAGACGCAATTATAAGGATATGCAAAGTTGGGGCAAAATCGATTACCGTTTCTTTTTCTGTGCAGAAATTATATTTTTTTAAGATTTCGATCTTTTGTGGGGGAGGTACCAGAAGGAGTGGACCGATCTTAACACCAGACCTTGGGTTAATATAAATATTGAGATGTGCGAAATTTCAAGACAATCGGACTCTTACGTCACATATTATGAGAGTTGTAATTATTAAAAATGTTGACCCTTTGTGAGGCAGATACTTGACGGAGTGGACCGATACGCAAATATTAGGATTAGCAAAGTTGGAGCAAAATCGGATTATCGTTTCTGTTTCTGTTCAGAAAATATATTTTTTGAAAATTTAGATTTTTGTGGGGGATGTACCAGAAGCAGCCTCCGATCTCGATCTAAGTTTGACAAAAATATTACGAAATACCAAGTTGGACCAAATCCTATATTCTCTTCGAGAGCTATCGTGTGCACCAGCCAGCTAGATCGACTCAAAATGTTCTGAAACGGATTTTGTCCAAAGAGACCTGTATGTATACCCTCTCTAGCAATTTTGCTGAGGGTATAAAAAAAACGATTATGGCCCACTGTGCGATGCTATCTTCCAGTGAAAGAATTGGTCCATAAACAAGTCTTTCTATGTTTGAAGTAGATGCATTCCCTTTTTATTTTCCAGATTTCAGAGACTTGTTGTTGACTTGAATGGATATGGAACTCAGGGTATTTTCCACTTCAATCATGGCTTACTAAAAAAAATCAGAGACCGAAGGACAATTTTAATTAATTATATTTGAGAATTGTTATTTTTTTAATAAAGTATACGAAATTCCTCCGCTACTCACCTCGTATTACTGTGCGACAGCGATGAAATATTCGTAGCATCATTATTACTGCTGGCCACATTGTTAGCCTGCGATTGGATAATTGGCTGCTGTTGTTGGCCACCACCCACCGCAGCAGCAGCGGCCGCTCCCGACGCAGCAGAAGATGAATTCGCCGCATTACGATTATAACTAAAATCAGCCGTTAACAAATTCGCCACAATCGACGAAGAACGTCTTCGATTTAAAATCGGTGATTTTTGGGTTCGTATCGATTGGAGATTTGTGCGGGTCGACGAGGTGCTTAAACTATTCGTATGCGTGTTCAGCAGAGTTTCGCTCAATTTCCCACTGCCAAAGCCATGATGGGAGGGTGAATGCAAATCCATGTAGCCGGAACCGCTGGCAAATGTTCCGTTATTATTGTTGGATGTCATTGAATTGAAACCACTACCGCCACCTGTACCAGCTCCACTGGCATTGTTGTTACCAATACTGGTTATATTGAAAGTACTACAACTACGTGGTCCCACACCCATGCCCATACCACCAACACCACCGCCACCTCCTCCAAACACACCAGCCCCATACGCTGAGGCATTGTAATGATGATTGGTGTGCCCCAAAGGATTTGCTGCTCCCAAATTTGCCAGATTCGTGCGACTGCCTTGCAGCAGACCACTTTGCTGTTGAATTCGTTGCAGGGCCGTTTCTTTGGTGTGAAATGCTCCGGGACCAGCATTTTTCGGTGGTTGTGGCAAACTTCGATGTTGATGTTGTATTTGCATTTGTTGCTGTTGTTGTTGCTGCTGCTGCTGCAGATGATGTTGTTGACTGTTGTCCTTTAAAATAGATTTCGGCTGTATCGTTGTTGTGGTCGACTGCTGTACAATAACCTGATGACTGGCCGTCGTCGTCGACGAGGGTACTGTCGCCCCTGTCACCACCTGATGTTGACTCTGTTGCGGTTGTTTTAAGATGGGCTTTAGCACATTGTATGGAACATTTGCCGTGGTCGGTGTCGATGAGGTGGTACTGATTGTGTCACTTTCATCACAGCTCGCATCTAATGGCGAATGTAAACAGAGAAGGGAAGAACAAGATGAAAAGAGGATAAAGTTTAATTAAAAATCGATGTTTGTGATAGCAAATATTTATTTAATTCCATGTTAGGAAAATATAATTGGAAGAGAACCGGGGGTGAGGGGGTAATATGTTGTAAGATAAAGAATTGGGAAATGTTGCCTTCTTTGAGTCATACCAAGTTAGAAAAAACAACACAACTAAGAAGGGTTCATCAGCTTCACATTTTTACTTCCATAAAAATCCATTTTAAAAACAATATTCTTAACAATTCTCTTCAAACTTAAAAAAGGTTAAAAACTCCTTCTTTCTAAAAAAATATCTTAAAAAATCCTAATAAATATTCTCTAAAAATTTGGATTAAAATTAAAAGGTCTAAGAGCATTGGGAAAACTATTCAAAAAATTAAAAAAATACTAAAAATCCAAATTTAAAGGACTCGAACCGTGTGAAAAATATATGGGGGCTATACGAAGACGTGGACCTGCACAGACAATTTTCTGTCATAAGCTGTTGTATTCATTACGAACTTCAAGTACCAAATTTGAAATAGTTCCGGTAAATAATGCCGCTAAAATCATTCAAAAAGATTCAACAAAATGGCAGAAGGTAGAAACATTGTGTGTGAGGGTCACTCTTGATCCGAAGGTGTCTGAAGAGGCTAGGATTTTGGAAATTCGTACTAGAACAGCAAAAAAGGTACTTAACATGCTATACTTTGTATTTGATGAGTTGGAACTCTTAAATTTGGAATGAGGGTTACTGATGGAGTATATGATTGATTTACCAACGGGTATTTCGAAATACGCACTATTAATGTACGAAAGGAACTAAAATGATATAGTACATTTTAGTTCCTTTCGTACATTTCGTGGTACCTTTTTGTATCATGTGAGCGGTTATAGCTATAAACTTGAAAATTAGAATGGGAGGGGAATGTTGAGGTGTGTACCCATGTATACGAAAAGTACTAAATGGTACTAAATTTGGTACAATTTGAAATTGGAAGAACGGTTTTAGCTGGAATCCTGTAATTTGAAATTAACATTAGTGTAGGATTGGGATATGGAGGTAGTTTATGAAATATGTACTTATGTGCACAAAAAGGACTAAACGGTACTAAATTTGGTACAATTTCGATTTGGGGGAACCGATGGAGCTGGAATCCTGAAATCTGGAAATAACATTACTCTTGTAGTTACAATTGGGACATGTAGGAAATATAGGAGATTCATGCTCATGTCTACTACATGGTAGTAAATTCGGTTCCATTTGTATTTGGACGAACCGATCCTGCATCCTGAAATGGGATAACTGTGGGAGTTATGTGTGCAAAATGATACTAAATTTGGTAAAATCTGGATTTGGGTAAACCGATAGAGCTGAAATCATGAAATTGGAAAATAAGATCCCTATTGGATTGTAGCTTGATACAGGTTGTTATTGAAATTTGTTGTTATCTGCACTAAATGGTACTACATTTGGTACAAATTGGAATTGTGATGAACCGATAAACCTGAAATTCTGAAATTTGGAAATAAGATTTCTATGGGACTGAGTTATGGAGGTAGTTTTAGAAATTTGGAGTGTAATATTGAGGTATGTAGGTAGTTTTAAAAATTCGTACTTATGTGTACTAAATTTGGCTGGTAAACATTTTTCTTTCAAATCCCACAGTCAGGATAAGCAAAATTATAATTTCTTTGATTTTTGAAATTTATTTTTTTTTTTTGCGAAGATCCTAAATTTTTGATTTTTAATTTAGTTGCTTATTTTCAACATTACGGTGCCAAATCAAAAAATAAAAAATAAAAGTAAAAATTTCAATTAAAAGTGCTTTAGTTATCTGGGTCGGGCCAAAAAATGTTCTCACCGAACAGACCCAACAGATGCGTGTTCAATATTTCCCATAATGTCTGTTTCCAGCCACCAACAGATATGTTCTGTTACGCTCTATCGCATAAACAATCCCTCATAAATGTAAAAATTAATTACATTTTTTATTAACAATTCCATAGAAATATTAAAAAAAAATCTCTGCAACAACTAATTATTAATTTAACCACAAAAGTAGTTAAATGAGGAAAAACCCCAACTAAATATTGTCACAATATTAAAAACAGCAATAAATGTTATTATTGTTGTTCTTGTTCTATTAAGCGGAAAATGTAACATTGCGAAAACACACATTTACACGCATTATTTTGTTTAATTATAAACCTCATAGTTGTTTGCTGTCGACCGCATTGAGTCAATTGCAATTTCCCCGAATGCCAACAATTTCAATTAAAAAAATTGAAAACGAAATGGCTAATTTGAAATAAAAGTGTAATTTACAAATTTTCCGAAATGGGTGGGAAACAAGGCTAATAAAAAGGTACAGGAATTCAAATATTTAAGGCGGTAGATTAATTCAATCAATTAATTTTAAGCTCTTTCCCTTTTCTCAGCAATCTGAAATAAACACTCACTATATAAGATACTTACGGGTTATTTTTCGCAACATAAATCACACCGCAAACTTTGAAGTACATTTTGAGAATTTTGAAAAATAAACTACACAAAAATCCAAAATGCGATGTTAGAGCTGTGTTAATTCAGTTCATAGTTGAGTACATTAGTTCCTAGGTGTATAAGTGATTTCAACAAAAATGTTATATAATTTGAATCTCTCATACGCAGAGGCATTCATACAAACGACCGGAAGCAATTGTCAGAAGTACATAAATAAAAAAACTGCAACAAAGTCGAAGCCATAATTTTTACATTTTTTTCATTTTTATTGAATGAAAGCAAAAAATATCGGAAATAGCATCAAATTTTAGAATAAGTGTAGATTTGTTCGAATTGGTCACCTTCGGCACGAATTATGGCCTTCAAACGGCCAATGAAACTGTCACACGCTGCCCGAATATTGCTCTGCGGTATTTTGGCCCATCCCCGGAGAATCGCTTGATTGAGGTGATCGGCACTTTGTTGTTTTTTAGTGCCAACCTTGCTTTCCAAAATACTCCAGACACAATAGTCCAACGGATAGGAATCCGGAGATTTTGGTGGCCATTGTGCGCTGGAAATGAAGAGAGGAACCTCAGTTTGTAACCATTCTTGGGTGACGCGTGCTGAGTGCAATGGTTCTGAGCCCTGTTGGAATGTCCAAGGTCTGCGGCCAAAAGGTTGCGTGCCCAAGGCTTTAATTCACCCTCCAGAATATTTTCGCTATAACATTCGGCATTTATTCTGATGCCACGGTCAATTAATACGAGCGAAGATCAACCATCGGCGGTCCACACCATCACCATGGCCGGCGCTTGAGTTCTGGTGGCCAACCGAAGGTGCACATTTTCAGGTGACCTCTTTGGCAAGTAAACACGATCATTTTGTTTGTTTACAAACTGCTGAACAACGAATGTTTTCTCATCGGAGAATGCGAATTTCGGCAGTTCACCACTTTCGGCCAAGCGAAGCAACTCTTTAGCTCTTTTGAGTCTATTTGGAGCTTTCTGTTGCGGCGGAGTAGGTTCTTGCATTTTTGGCATTTCAATGGCTTTACCCCGAGCTCATTCTTCAATATTTGCCGAATGGAATATTGCGATATGTTTAGCTCACGAGCCATTTTCGACCACTGCGAAGCGGGTTTCGATCAAGTCGCTTCTTTATGGTTTTCGAACCATTTCTGCTGATGATTTTTGCTTGCTGAAGAAACCAGCTTCTGTCCAATTCCTTGACGTCGGGCTACGCCATCTACCAGTATCACGGTAACGAGCGATGGTACGAGACACAAAATGTTTATTCACATTTAAATGCTGGAGTGCTCTAGCGATAGCCACTTATGGCTATCGTGAATTCCATCACGAATAACTTTTTTCCTGAAAAATGCTCATCAAAATGCTTTTGTACGCTTCTAAACAATATAATGAGCTGTCACTGGAATAATTTTAACAGTTGTCGGATGAGTGGTTTAGAAATGACAGCGGTCTGAAATTGGGTGCAGTTTTTTCATCTAACCATGTATTTGGCGGTAAATAAATATCAATTTTACCCTCTTTCCCTTTTCTGAACAGCCTATACACCCCCTTTATAAGACTCTTGTGGGATAATTTTTACAACATAAAATTAACCTTCTCATATCACCAACTTTGAGGTATACTTTTTTTTTTTTTTTTTTGGATCTCTGATCAATTGTGAAAATAAATCACACAAAACTCTAAAATCGCAACCATCAAAACTCCAAAATCCGAAATAAAAGTCGTGTCGATCTAGTTCATAGTACAAAACACTAGTTTCTAAACGTATGAGTGATATCATAAACTTCATATAATTCCAATCACTCATACGCAGTTTTTATACAAACGACCGTAGTCCACGAAACTAAATAAGGAATTGGCAGAACTCTCTCCGATGTACATTTGTAATATGAGAATTAATTATACCAATTTTCTTTTTTAAATTTAAAATATTTTCATCTTCTATTTCAAATTTTGCTTCTGTCATGAGAACACACAACACTTCGTCCTTGACGTTTCTATGCAATTAGGAAGAGATGAACAGCTGTGAGTATCGTCATTGTACGTATCTCATATTAATTATGACATATTCATGCCGCGCACAAACACTTGGCCAAATGTCAGAGTCACGAACGCGTTTATGAGCCAAGTTCTGCTACGTGACATTTGTAGGCGTCACAAAAAATTGAATGAAAATAAAACCACAGCATCTTGTAAGGCTGACACATGTGGGAACATTTGAGAACATGTTTGGCAAAATTTATGACAACAATAACACTTAGAAATGTGAATCGTTCGTAATCTCTAGAGAATTTAGGGTTTGGGGAAAGCCATAACAATTTAGATTTAACTTGGGTTGGGGTCTTCTCCTAGTAAAAACCAACAAGTTAAAAAGTAAGGTTTTGCCCTCAGAAGTATTCTCTCAGCCTAAATTCGATTTTTTAAATATATTTTGACTTCTGATATAATTATTTAAATT